ATATCGAAAAAGAGCTGCTGGAATATATATTGTTGATGGAGGTCATATTTTTCTATTATAAAAGCATTTTTGCGATAAAATACATTGGAGTAAATAATTTGGTAATTATTTATCATTTTTTGTCCTTTCCTATTTTTTTTTTGGCTACATTAAAGCATTTTTTTGAAAATATACAGTAAGGTTCCATATTACCACCCGATTTTCTCTAAGCCTACTTTCGGACTTTTTGTACAAAAGCCTTCAAAAACCATACTTGTAATTACACTAGCGAAAAATCCAATTAGGAACATTTAGTTTACTAGGTACCAGTACTTTTCGCACAAAAAATGTGGGTGTAGTTATGATACCTTGTTTACAATTCACTAAAATGTAATTGGGGTTCCATAATACCACCTTCTCCTCTATAATATACTTATCAAATAATAATAAATAAATGTATGTACCTGATTAAATTTATTATTATTTATGTAAAATAAGTAATTCACTTTTAGTTATAGTTAGTTAGAGTTTTTTTTATGGTGCTCAGTTATAAGGACTGTATACATCTAACACAGTAATTATAAAATTTACATACAAAAATATAAGGGGTACTTGAAAAACAACTAATGGGCTAATGGGGTACATCAACAAAAAAGGTTGCGAACCACTGGGATAACTGATTATGTATGAAAAAATATATTAACTTATCCCTGTTGAAAATTTTCTCCATTGCATGTCGCTTCATGTTAGATTTTCTTCAATATAAAGCCTAATGAAAATTTTTTAAATAATAATCATGGCTACTGTATCATTAAAAATTATTTCTTTATTTTGCACAAACAAAATAAATATATTGCAAAATATATATATAAAAAAAATATACATACATACATATATATATATTTTGGATGTTAATCTAGTATCAAAAACATTCTGATTCAGCATGACACACAGTCTTCAGAAAAACATCACAAAACTCTTTCTTTTTCTTGGGTTTATCTGGAGATGTCAGCCACTTGGGCTGTATTCCCCAACAAGCTGAAGCAAAACACACCACTCAAGATGAAGAAAAAAGCCTCGTTCAAATACTGGCGTGTCCTTAAGTACCCTCTCAATGTGTGTTGTACTAAATCAGAACGTTTTTGATACTAGATATAACTTCCAAAATATAATTTTTTTTTGTTTTTATATTTTTCAATATATTTATTTTGTTTATGCAAAATAAAGAAATAATTTTTAACGATACAATATGGTCATGCCAGTGCTGCCAGCTAAAACATGCACACCAACAAAAATAATATTGGAGTAGCCTAAGACAGCCAAATATTGCAGTGCCACAGAACTAGTGGAAATTTGAATTTGCCAACTGGAACGCTTTCATTTCGGTTGATCAGTATTTGGATAATCGATGCTCTATGTCAGGGGTGGCCAACCTGCGGCTCGCGAGCCACATGCGGCTCTTTGAAGGATTATTTGTGGCTCTCGATAAATGTACCCGAGTTTCCTTTTCATTTTTGTGTTATTATATTTTTAAAAATTATTATCGTTCCATATGTGTTTCAAAATGTCTTTTAAATTACTAACAACAAATATAAAAGACTAAGTGCAACGTTGTAACAATTTTCATTTCCGTCCAAGTTAAGAATGATATGACTCATCGAAAACTGCGCGAACGAACATAAACAGTGGCGTAATCGTCCGTTATCGACCGACTCCAGACCGATTTTGAATTTGTAAACTGTCATTGCAA